AGTAATCCAAACTCTGAGAATCTCTATCTGGATTTGATATAGCTCCTTCCTTTTATATCAACTCCTTAGGATGTGAACAAGTCTTTCACACTATGATTTAGCTTTGATTGAGTGGAGGAAGATGAAGAGGAAAAGTAGTACAGACCCTTGTGGTTAATTAATACAAATAAGAAGTGTTCTAACTTAACAAAGTTTTTAAATGGGTGGGATAAAGAATGAGATTCTACCTTTATACATTTATTAAGTATTTGCTTATATATGTACTTATATATGTATGTTCCCCCAACTAGGATATATGCTCCTTCAAAGTAGATACTGTTTCATTTTTTATCTGTGTATCTACATCACCTGGCACAGTGTCTAGGTATATAAAAGAAGTGCTTAATAAATACTTCTTGATTGATTGATGATTGAAGACTTATATTTATGTCCTGCCTCTGGTTATATGCCCCTGGGAAAATCACTTAACCTCTCAGTGTTCCAAGTAACTCATTAAGACTATAAGTTGCAGAGCAGGTACCGATTTGCATTGGTAGAAGAATTTTCCTCTCCCTAAAGCAATGAAATTACAAAACCACTGCACCCTACCTCTAACTTAAAAAAAAAAATTTTTTGAAAACTGATATTTTAGGAAAAGCAGTTTTAATAAAGAAGCAGAAAGTAGATGAGGACTCCTGTGCAAATTGTAAAGGGGACCTCTGGGAACTTTCAAATATTTTAGAGATTACTGTTGTGATGGGCACAAAATCAAATGATACCTCTAGCTATGGACAAAGCCAACACAGTCCTCAACTTGTCCCCAACTAGCAAGATAACACTATCCCATCTTGGGGCAAGAGGTTAATTAACACTTACTAATCATGAGTTGCATTGTTATGTATCTGACTGACAAAATTAGATTCCAACCTCCCAGAAACTGTATCTGTGACAAATCAGAGGGGGCAAGGCTTTGGCAACTGTGCTAGAAATGCTGAGTAGGTAGTACAGGGAGAACTTCAGTATCAACTTAATTGATTACATGTAAAAGGCTTATGACCTCTTAGCTACTTTACTACAGATGGTTTCTGGGATCCAGTCTCCAGGAGGATTACCTGGTAAGTTTTGGACATAGTTCAGGCTAACCCTCTCAGGAACTTTGTAATTTTAGAGATTGGTATTGTATTGGGAACAAGATGATATGATCCCCACCAAGGACAAGGCAACTATTCCTGCCCTACTTGGCCTCCTTATGCTGGTCTATGCCATGTGCCCACCTAATCTGAGACCCTCAGCCTGTCCCTAACTTGAAAATGTCACTCTCTCATCTCACGGCAAGAGGTTTCCAAACTCAGCACAGAGATGCCTTGGCCCCAAAATGCTTACCCCCTCCAAGAGTTCTGTGTACAATGGAGAAATAGCTTGGCTTCTCCCTCAACTAGTAGGCTTCTTTGCCTCTGGAATTGTTCACACAATGTATTCCCAGAAAAGACTTGAGTGACCAAAAGGTAGTATTGTTGGGATATGTCTCACTTTCTAACAGAATAAAGGAGGTCAAACTATCACTCTATGACTATGGTGGGTGTGTATTTACTTGAAATAAAGAGGATCCCTTAGTTAAGGTGGTAGTACTTTTGAGTCCAAGGACGCAGGTGACAGACCAACCTTACTTAGCCCCTTACACATTTATTCAGCATAGCTTATATATGTACTTGTTGTTGTTGTTTCAGTTGTGTCTGACTCTTTATGTCCCCATTTGGAGTTTTCTTGGCAAAGATGCTGGAATGGTTTGCCATTTCCTTCTCCAGTTCATTTTACAGATGAGGAAACCAAGGCAAAGTGGGTTAAGTGTCTTACTCAGGTTCACACAGCTACTGAGTGTCTGAGGCCATATCTGAACTCAAGAAGATGAGTCTTCCTGATGCCAGGTCTGGCATTCTATCCACTGAGCCGCTTAGCTGCCCATATATGTACTTACAGAGTCCTTATTTAGCCCCTGTGGAAGAAGGGTACAGTTCATCCACAGAGGCCTCTAAGGGGACAAAGATTTTGTATCACTCCTCTGATACGACTCTTCGAGGGGGCAAGGCTTTGGCAACTGTGCAAGAAATGTTGAGTAGGTAGCAGTACAGGGAGAACTTCAGTATCAACTTAACTGATTACATGTAAGAGGCTTATGACCTCTTAGCTACTTTACTACAGATGATCCTGATTCAATGATAAATTGTTGACTGTGCCAAAAGTAGCCCTGTGTTGACTTTGAAGTTCTGAAGCTATTCCTGGTTATCACTAGCACCTCACATTGGGAGAAGAAATCTCTCAGTGACTGTAACAGAAGGGTCACCATCTGTGCTATAGCTTTAATGTTCTTGGTGTTGCTCTGGTACATCTTCACCATCTTCCATTAGGAGATCCACTATGAACTACAAAGATTTGGCATCACCCTCCATATGGACTACTAATATGATTGGATGACTGGTCCTTTGAAAGGAAGAAAGAAAACCCTATCTTTGGCTTTTGTTCTTCACATTTTTTTTTCTTCTTTTTTCCCTCTCTTATTATGTTGATTACTGGTGTGTGGGGTATAAATTGTGCGTGTATTAGTGAAGGTGATTGTGTTTTTTCTTCTTAAATTCAAAAAAACTTCATTCTTTAAATATAAAATCAATCTCTCCTCATAAAAATGAATATTTGAAATATGATACTCAAATATCCAGAAAGATAGAATAAAATTATTTCTAAGAATAGCAATAGGACTTAGCATGGAAAAAGACATTGTTAAAAAAAGTCTCTTGTACAATGGAGTAATTTCATCCTTCATTAATTTAATTGTATTATTAAAGCATGTACTACACATCATTTTGCATTAAAGTTGAAAATCATGTAGACAAACCACGTAGAATACTTAGATTAGCTTCCATTTCATGGTAATAACATGTCTAAAAACTGAAGAATTATTTTACAAAGAGAAAATGAATTCATACCACTTTACCAAGTCAGTTGAGCTAGCTACTTCCAACATATCAGTTATAGAAAGACTTACAGATGTAGGCTAATATTTATTTCATGGATGGGTTGACTGTCAGTCACTAAAAAGGATTTCTCCCCAAGAGTGCAGTATTTTATTTCAGACTCTGCCAGTGGAAGTGTTGGAACAGATGTTGGCAGACTATGACATACAGTATGTCTTTAAAACTTGTTCGGGTGTGAAATTTCATAAGGTCAAAAAAATGCTGCATTTTGATCAAAGGATAAAGGAGTTCTGCCTTACTAAATTTTTATAAATTGTTTCAAACAAACCAATTGCAAGTGTCATTAAGATATAGAGACTAAGACAATGCATTCAGGTTGAATATAATATAGCAAAGGAATATAGATCTAAGGCTGCAAGGGATCTTAAAAGGATCATTTACTCTAACCCCCTAATATTGCAGATAAAGAAATCGAGGCCCTGAGAGATTAGGTGACTTGTTTGGTCAAACAAATAACACGGCAAAGCCAGAATTCAAATTCAAGTCCTTTAACTCAAGTTCAGTATCTTTCCACTATACCATGAAAGCATTTCTTAGATGTTTGAATTATTAGCAAATAACTACAGATCTAAGAAAAAATATATAGGTCATTAAATAAAACAAACAATATTTCTCTGACTATCAGGGATAGGAAGTACTTTCTTCTGAGAAAAAGTTTATATTTTTGGAATAGAGGCACATTATAGTATAAGTAGCACTGAACTGGGAGTCAGGAAACCCAGGTTTTATATCTCTATTGCTACTTATCTGTACCCTGTGGCTAGTACCTTCATATTAATGGACCTTAGTTTACTCATCTGCAAAAGGAGGATGTGGACTTGATAGGTGTTCTCTAAACTCCCCTCTAGCTCTTATATTTTATGATTCTATGACTGAATAAAATAGGTCTTGGAAATTTTTGATAAGAAGAGAGAAGGATGTCATTTTTTAAAATGCCGCATCCATCTGGCATCAATGTTTTTTAAAAGATTTAAATACACAGTGAGATCCTAATAATACACTTAGAAAGTTTTTGAAAAAGGCAACTACACCATACAAGTTATTTAATGAATCCATGATTCATAAGCATTTCCTTAGCTTTATATATCTCAGAGATCTCCAATCTAATCTAAGGTGAACAAAAAAAAAAAACCCGTTAATTTACAAATAACAAAAAAAAAAAAAACCAGAAAATGAGGGGATGGGGAGGGAGAGTTTCTATATACTGATAATGGTTTGTGTTGTTTTCTTGTTCCACAGTTCAGAGTTCTCATTTCTTTTCCAAATGTAGCTAATATATGGAAATACACTACTGATGTCAATAAGGATGATCTTGCAATGCTTATTTTTTCATAACTCACTAAATACAATTTAGCCTTTAAATGTTTTTAATTTAAAAAAATTAACACAGGATAAGTGAAAATATGCTTCATTATTACATAAGTACAGAGAGACTCTGAATGATTAATCAATAAATTCAAACAGTCTTAAGAGCTGATAGCTTGATTATCTGAGCAAATAATCCCTTAGTTTGGTTTTGTGCCACTTTACAATCTGGCTAACATTTTCCAAATACTTTTAAATTATAAGTAATTTAAGAGATAATGATTAGAAAATTAAGAGAAAACAGGAATGTATGTATGAAATTTCTATATTTTCTAATTTAAAATGTTTCTCCTATTATAGTCAATAAAAAAGTATATGAAGATATGAATTTGTTGAGATCACCAATATTTTATCAGAAATTTAATACCTAAGTTCAGAAGTCTTTGCTCCCACTTATTTTAAGTACATCTATTCCCCAACTATAAGATTCAAATTCATATGAAAATTTACTTCAGAATATTAAGTAATATTCATTTAGACTACCAACAGTGATAAGGAAATTTTATGCTGCTATAAAACACAAACCAAGTATTTTATATTCTCATTATATATTATATGGCATTCAATGTATAAGGTCATACAAACAACAAAAATATAAGAATGAGTACACAAATGTAATTAACTTACTTGCCACTGAAAAGTTGTTAAGGGGATAAGGTAAATCCACATCTTGAGGTTTCTCCTTATATCCTATGAATGAGCCATCTGTCTTCAAAAGGAAGTATCTTGGCCTCCAGTTTTTTATATATTCTCCTACATGAGGAAAGCACACATGTTAATGCTGAAGAAATGAACAGCAGCTTTTATGTGAAAAATAAATTATGGTATAATGTATGTCCTACAACACTGGACTCCAAAAATTTGGTTGGCCAATTTTCTTTTAACTTCGCTCACATAATACATGAGCCTACAATTAAGATTCAATAAAAACCCAAATATGCTTTGTTTTAAATCACTTCACACTTTGATAATCCATTTGCACCATTATTCATACAGAGAATCATTCATCTGAGTACACATTTTGTTCAGTTTTTCATTTTATCACATGGTTGTTAGAACATATTTTCAGCACATTAAGACAAGCCTTCATAATTTATCTACACAGTATCAATTTATTTTGATGCAAAACACTTATCACAACAGGAATGTCTAATAATTCTTTTTTCCATCTACAAATAACAAATATTGTCATTTTCGTACAAGGGCAAAAGAAAAAGAATGTTTTCTCTACAAATGCTGCCAAAATAATTTATCAACCACACTGCATTATTGTACGCACAGAAATTCCATTTTCTATAACATTACAAAAAAGAGTGACACTCAAGCAAAATTGATTTTAAATGGTATAATTTATTTTGAGACATGGATTTCTGACCATAAAACATCCAAAACAACATCCTTGTAAACTGAATAATCTTCAGCCACTCTTGATTAAAAAAACAAACAAAATAAATACAGATAGCAAGCAACCAGTTGACAAGATAAGTGATCGATATAAGATGTCCTAAATCCTATTTAATGAACATGCTAGATATACAAATTTGATTCTTGACCACTGTCTAATATCGTCCTGGATATTCTATACCCTTAATTTCAATTGTCTGATATATGTTTTCACTCAGATGTCTCACTATTAACCTAAAAGTCAAGTTCCTTGTCTTCCTTCAAAAACTATCTCCTACAGACTTTTACTAATAATACCACAGTCCTCTCAGTTACCTAGGCTCAAAACCAAAGAATCTTCTGAAGCTCCTTTCAAGATGAATCAACAACTACCAAATCCCGATAATTCTTCTTTCAAAATGTCTCTCTAATCCAAGGGTTGGTAAACTATTGCCAGGGGGCTAAATCCATTGCAGTGTGAGGAGCACAGTGAGGACAGTGAGGACAGTATATGGCCTGTGAGCTAAGAATTTTCTTATATTGTTTAATGCAATAAAACTTTATTTTAAAATGTAAAAATCATTCTTAGCTAAGGCTGCAGAACAACAGACGGCAGGCTGCATCTGGCCCTCAGACCATATTTGGCCAACCACTGTGCTATATTCCATCTCAACCTTTCCATTCTATCACAACCTAGTTTAGGCATCATGATGTCATGGCAGGGCTACTAAGACAGTCTGTATGGTTCTCTGCTTTGATCTCCATATTCCGATTTATCCTATACATTCCTCATAAGAAGAATCTTCCTAAAGTGTAACTTCTGTTGGCATGATCACTTGCCCCATTTAAAACCTTCAATGAATTCACATTTCCTTCAAAATAAAGTACAAGCTCCTCAATCTATCATTTGAGATTACTAACATCTGGGCCAAGTGATACAATGCATAGAATGCTGGGCTAAAACACAAGAAGACCCAACTTCAAATCCTGCCACAATCACTGGCTGTGTGACCTTGGGCAAATAAGATAACCTGTTTCTCAATTTCCTCATTGGTAAAATAAGGGGGATGGACTTGATCTTATGATCCTATGATTTCCCTTTGGATCCATTAATTTGTATTTTTCCATAAGGATAATAATAGCACCTATTTCCAAGGACTGTTTTGAGGATTAAAGAAGCTAATATAAGTAAAGCACTTTGCAAAGCTCAAAGCACTACATGCAATTATTACTACTGTTACGGTGGTTGTAGCTGTTACTGACCTACATATACTCTATCCCTCAGCCAAACTAAACTGTCCCACATTCAAAACCAGCCCTTTACTTCTATCTGAAATGCCTTGTTCTCCCCATGTCCACATATATTTCTAACATCATTTCTACTGTAGCAATTGCACTAAACTTAAATAGGCAGCTACATGGTACACATGATTGAGAACTACATCTAGAGTTAGGAAGACCGTAAGTCATATATGACATTAGACACTAGCTCAGAGGTTGCCAAAGTGGGTGATACTGCTTCCTGGGGGCACCGGAACGATCCAGGGGGGTAGTAGTAGCCTCAGGTGCATTTGGGGTCATTGAATAAAAGTAAAAGGGCAGTGTAAGCACAAGGAAGGAAGAGAAGATAAGAGAATTTTGAAAAATCGTTCATACATGTTTCATCTGTTGCATAACAGAGTTAAGTCACAGTGATTACATTATTTTCCAAATATACACACAAAATGCAAGTTACAACCAATCAGTGGTCAAGCCTGCCAACAGGTCTTAACAAGCAAGTGTTGGTAAGCAAGCGTGTCGCACATAGTCAGGAAGTCCAGCATGCATCAGCAAGAATATGTGCATGTAATGACTTTTTAAAAATAAACTATTATATGGTTTACAAAACACAATATTACATCATCAAAATTTCAATGCAGTAAAAAAAAAACTACAAATTCACAATAAATTATTTAATTTAAAATGCATCATTTAAAAAAAATATTTTATATTTTTGAAAGCTCTGGAGCAAACAGCTGAGCAACCAGCCTAATAAAAGGGTTAAAGAAAGTAGATTTCCAGGGGGGCACTGAGTAAATTTTTTTTTTTGGAAAGAGGGCAGTAGGACAAACAAGTTTGAGAACCTCTGCGCTAGCTGTATGACTCTGGAGAAGTTACTTAACTTCTGTCTGCCTCAGTTTCCTCATCCATACAATTAAGATAATAATTGCACCTATCTCCCAGGGTAGTTGTGAGGGATAAAAGGAGATATTTGTAAAGTGCTTTGCAAACTTTAAAACAATAAATAAATAAAAGTGTCAAACCCAATTCATTCTTCAAAGTCCAGCCACAATGACACCTCTGCTATGAAGCATTCCCTCAACATTCCAGCTGAAAGTGATCTTTCCTTTCTCTGAATTGCTACAATACTTTGTACCAACCACTCTTTGCACTTACCTCATACTGACTTCTATCATGGTTATTCAAAGATAGATCTTTCTTTCCCTAATAGAACCTCAGAATTTCAAAACTGAAAGGAATCTCCATAGCCATCTAGTCTATACCTGAATGAGAATAGCCTCTCACAATGTTCCCAAAAAGTGTCATTCAGCCTTTGCTTAAAGATCTTTCTTGATGACAAATCCTCTATCTCCCAAGGCAGTCCACAACTATGTGAAAGGATTATACAGGGAAAAAAAGACTACAACCAAAGAAATAAATTAAGAGGCTATCAGGCCAGACAAACAGCGATAAAGAATGGAAACAGGGTGGTGGTTATATCAGTGAAAAGAAGAGGTTGGATATGAGAAACAGGCAAGTAGAATGAGAGAGAATTAGGAGTCAAAAACTGATTCACAGTTGTGAACCTGAGTGACTGGAAGGATGGTAGTACCCTCAAAAGAAGTAGAAAAGTTTGGTATAGGGGTCAGTCTAACAGGGTAAGATTAGTTCTAATGGGAAAATGTTGAATTTGAGATGCACATGGGACATCCACATGTCCTACAGCAGAAGACTTTTAGTGATTTGGGACTGGAAATGAGAAGAGATATTAAGATTGTATACATAGATTTAGGAGTCAACCTCAAAGAGATTATAATTGAACCCATGAGAGCTAATTAGATCATTAAAAGATGTAAAGAAAGAAGAAAGAGGGTCCAAGATTGCTCATGATAAGGAGGAAGTACAAAGGCGATGATTCAAGAAAGAAGAATGAGAGGGAGTAGTCAGAAAGATATAGAGAGAACTGGAAGAAAGCAATTTCATAAGAGCCAGGGGCAGAGAGAATGGTTAGGATGGGGGTAGGTGGGTGTGGAATGAGAGATGGGAAGGGAGAATATCAAAACTATCAGGAGCTACCCAGAGGTCAAGAAGGATAGAGACTAAGAAAAGGTTATCCAACTTACTTATATGATTCATATCTTCCTTTCCCCAATTACCATGGAAAATGAAAAAATAAGTGAAGATATAAAGAAAAAAAGAAAACATCATACAATAGCTTAAGGCATATAAAAACCCTAACAAGATTCAGAGACAGAAGGTCTATTAACTAAATCTAACTTCTGTATCTCTATTAATGGAATTACAAGAATGGAAGACATAACTTGATAGTGTTCCTACTTTTTTTGGCTAATGATCCTTAATATCTCAAAGCATCACTAAAGAGAGATATGTTTTATTGAACATGTGTAACCTATACCAAGTTGTTTACTATCACAAGGAGGGGGGATGGGAGGGAAGAACACAGAAAATTTGGAACTCAAAAAAAATTTTTAAACAAATGCTGGAGCAGCTAAGTGGCGCAGCAGATAGAGCACCAGTCCTGGAGTCAGGTGGATCCGAGTTCAAATTTGGCCTCAGAAACTTACTGTTTGACAATGGGCAAGTTACTTAACCCTGATTGCCTTCAGAAAAGAAAAGAAAATGAAATGTTAAAAATTATCTTTACATACATGTAACTGGGGAAAAATAAAATATTTCTTTAAAAATAAATCTTATGATCCTAATAAAAAAGAGAATGTATATATAAAACTGCAATTTTAAATCCATACATATGTAATCATTAGACTTATGAATTACCAGTTAATAATTTCCCTAATATTCCTATAGAAGAATGAATTAGACTTTTCTTTTTATTAACTCTAAAAATCACTGTAATTACCTAACATATCCATCTAGGACCTAGTTATTCACATAGACGTGGTACTCTATGAATTTCGAAAGTTAAGTAATATTTGTTACTTCCCTAAAATATTTGGATTTCATATGCTGTTGCATAGTGATCCCAGCTTAGTACATGTGTGTAATACTTTAACACTATCAAGTTAACAAATGCTATCATAAATTCTGGGTAGTTTAAATTAATTTTGAGGGGTAGGGGAATGCTGCTTAGG